GCCAGCGAATTGTACTTTATTGCTCTACAAAATGAAGGTCTGTTGCTGTCTACCTTCTTTTCCTAACCTCTCAAGTTTATGTTAGAATTTTTATATGATATTTCATTGTAGTGAATTTTCAGGATTATGTCAAGTATTTTCACTTTATTTCGGCAGCAGATAATTGTAGAGTAAGGTCTGCTTAACTTTGATTTTATTCTACTTTATTTTGGTCATTTTATGCGGAAATCTGTTTATCCCTAGCTCATTTTTTCTTTCTATATTTTGTGAATAAAGTGTAATTATTTTCTGGTGAATTGCATTTTAATAACAAAGCCGCTAAAATGTAATATATCTTTGGAAGCTGTGTATCAATTTCACGAGCCGGTGGGATTGTTGACCCCCGCTGAGGTTAGGGCACATTGTGGAACGTACTCGAACCCCCGTCAAAGATTAACTACGACTAGAGATGTCTAACAATAAAAATGTTTACTACTATTGAATGCGTTTGTAACGAACGCAATATATAGCTACAATACAGTTAAATATAACCTAATAATAACTAACAGTTGCGCGCGACTTTACCCGCCTGTATTTAAAAAAAATAGCGTATGAGTCACATACTTAGCTTTTTAATGGTGAAAGAAAATAAATTCAATATAAATTCTTACTTTGAATTTTGAATAATCTTAGTCTGGATTAAACCAAACCTAACCTAACTATATAATAAATAAATTAAATGATAAAGGTTAATTTTATATGTGGTAACAATTTTAAACAAAAGGTTGAAATAATGAAATGAGCAGTACTAGCAGTGTTAGTCTATGACGGTAGAGAACCCCCGTAAAGTTGAACCCCGCGGGACTCGAGCACTCGGCATATTATTATCAAATGTAAAACCCCATAATGACGTAATGATACAGCAACTTCTGCTGAGTGATTACTGAACTCAAAGCTCTGAGGTACCGCGTCATTATGAAATATCGCCGCTGGATTTCTACTCTTTGATCAATATTTAATCCCTAAAAAAACCACATAGATGACTTTCATATGCTCTTTGTTATGATATTTTATCTTATTAGACGAACTCGATTAAAAACTATAATTTCTATTACTCTGTGTGCGATCACATTCTGCACACTATTTCGTTTCAACAATTTTTTTGTTTCTTCTTACTTCAAGTTACTAACAAAATTTCGACGAAGCGCTTTTATGAAATGAATTATCGGTTCATGTTACTTATGTACCTCGGTAATTCAATACATGAGGTAAGTTTGCGTGATGTAGCAACATTAATCAGTTGGCAAATCAATGGGCCATTGTGTGGCTGCAGTTGTTGCCATAGCTCATGCGGACGTCCCGCGCAGGACCACCAGCAGAGCACGTGATTAATGTCGGCCACCTAGCGGACATACCGAACACTACACATATTAAAACCGACAACAGACAATAGAAAATCAATTATAATACTAAGCACTTATAAGTAATTGTATTAAATATAACGTTCAAATCGTTAGTTGGTTACTTAAAGTTCTTAAAGATCGCTTAAGGACTCTGAGAGGCGGTAAGTGTAGAAAGAGAAAAAGAAATAAGAAAGTAAACATGTATAGTAACATATGCTGTATGAAATTTTACGTAGAACAATAGACGTGAGGTTTTGGTTTTTTTAAATAAATTGCTGAGTTATTTCCATCACGAGTAATGTTGCAGTGCTCATACAATTTCCAGTGAGTGATTACGTTGTTTAATTTTAAAGTATTTATTTCTGTATCGAGCTAACGACTCTAACGTATAATCTCTGTTTTATAAAAGTCTATGGTTAAGTTCAATATAATTTTTACAATGTTTTGGTGCAGAGGACAAGGATGTGCGGTGTCGTATAAAACAATCAAGGGCGTTAGCTTATAGTGATGTACAATTACGTCGATATATTTATTTGTTGTTTTAATAAATCATCCAAAATTCTTCAATAATGCTAAAGACTTGTTTAATATTGCAAGTACTTTAAAATTTAAAGAAAGTGGACTAATGTCTATTCTATTAGGTAAAGGGGCATAGTTTTCTATTAAAAAATCTAATACCTAACTAAGACTTGTAACTGCGGTTTATTCAGGTAACTAGAGTAAGTATTACAATTTATTTAACTACGAAACTGTTGTTGTATAATGTTTTTGTAAACTTAATCTGTCACATCGGTTGATCCCAACACTAGAGACGTCAGTGTATATTACAATGGTTGTCCGGGAGTACGGGGTTGCTAATCGCATTGGCCTCACCCTGCCCGTACGCTCTCTGATCTATACAATGCCACACGTATCTACAATAGATGAATAGGCTCGACATGATGTAACAAAATATTGCGGTTTTCTTAACAATGACGTTTCTTAATTGCCTTCGCTATACTACTAATTCATGTTTACATGTTGTATGTTGTACAAAATCATATACATAGAAATAAAAGAAAAAGTACAAATATTTAGTCAGTGAAGATTCTTGGAAAAAATTTAAATAAAACAGACCGTATTCTGTTTCCAACTAACTGTCATCTATGAACTAAACTTGATACTACAAGAACGCAAAATGTTATGCACATGAATGTGTGGAAACGAAAATAAAAATTGTTACGTTTTACACAATGTGTGCAATATAAAAAATATCAAGTTAACGCTGTCGTGTAGTGTCATTAGTATGTTTTTCACGAATTACATAATTTTTCTAACTCTTCGAGATTTAATATTTTTTTAGTTTAAATCAGCGCCATCTATGATTGAAATGATGGACTACACAAAGTCACGAATAATGTCAAGGCAACAACGAAAACTATAACAAAATATAGATGGCGCTGCTTTTAAGAAAGAAATTTCAAATATTCCATGTAATTTATTTAAAATAATGTTTTTTTTAAATTATATTTTTTTCTAACTTCATACTATTAATAGCTGTAGTTAAACGTTTTTATTTAATCGGCGTTGATCCTATTCGCCTATATAAATAATAATGTTTGTGTTTCTCATAACATTGTATTTTAAATTTATATTTTAAACCTTTGTCCAATATTGTTCTAATGTAGTAGAAAAAAAAACAGTTTTATGGCATAGCAACGCATACTTTTTTAGTTTTACAATAAAAACTGCAAATCGCCATAACATTTATCAATAAACAACGATCACTTTTCACCGGAATTTTTTTATCTTTTAAACTGATTAAAGTTACAGTGGTCGTCATATTGCATGTCAGCGATTACTGGACAAAACATCGTCAGAATGAAAGTGCACTTCACGTGTCAAAGTACGTGATTAATATTCTGTTATTTGTTGGAAAACATTCAGTAATATGAGCAATGTATGATAAGATCCGATCATTACAATAGCCAATAAAGTGAATGTCAAAACGAAATTAAAATATTCCGTACATTGCCCTCGCGCGGTGCGGCTGCACTCGGCGGCTCAACAATTGTAGATATAACTTAGCCTAACACAAGTCTAAGAGGCTAATATGGTACAACTAGCACTCTTAATTACTTACTATCTTAAAACAACATTTTATTTTGACTACAAATTACTGAGTAATTATTAGCAGTGTTTATTAATAGATCTTAAGCAATTGTATGTTAGACTGAGAATATATACACTGGCTCTCTTGCCAGCCAGCTACTGGGAAGTAGGGTTACAGGGTTGTCTGATTGCTAACGGGCATGCTAGTAGTTGTGGGGAGGGTCGAGAAGGATACCAACTTTGACAATGACGTCTCATTGCGTACGATCTCGTCAATATTTACATTTACATTTTAAAATTGGCAAAGGCGTTGCGCTACCAGCTGGCATGCCTACTACCCTAATCTACTGGCATATTTCCACCTTTACATTAGTTAATCATGATAAGATCTGTCACGTAGCCTGTAAATTAAACAAATTAAGTTGACATTGTGTGGCGTGGAGTGCGGAGTGCGGAGTGCGATGTATGCTCATGCTTCTCGTCAGATACAGATGATGACAAAACTGATTGGCATATAATTTCCTCTCCTATCCGTATCCTGTTAGCTATTATTTTCCCGATGTATAATTACGTGTAAACGTAACGAATTAAAAATGTATAATTACGATCTTATTCGCATAATCTTTCTGATGCTTCTATTACCTCGCGTATTTATCATTTGTACTCAAAGTCAATGATAGATTAATGTAATTTATATCGAAAATTGGAAATTCTATTCTTTGTCTTTAACATAAAGCTGCGTTTTATCCACACAAAAATCCGATTTATTTTTAATGAATTCCTCCTAAAATAATTTAGGATTAGACAAACAATCTGATATTATCACTGTATTCTGTTTTGTCTGATACTGGTGGTTGGATTAAATACTTATCATATTTATACCATTAATGACTACAGAGAACTTTTTAACAAAACAAAGGTATGAAATTTCTTTGTTTCAACAACAACTAAATACGTAGGCAGATATTAAGGAGTTTCATTAGACGCGGTCCTGGCACACCTATCTTACTTTGTCCCCTCTTTCACATTAATACAAACACATGCATCTTGATATCCTATGCTCTATATCAACCACCTTTTTGTCGGCACTCCTTCTGTAGACTTTCAATCATGTTTAAATTACCATCATATAACATTCTTTATGTCTGATGTGTGTTAAAAACTGTACCAAGATCTTAACACTTTTTATTTACTAATGCCATGTAAGATTGATAAAATCAATAGAGAAAACTGTCCTGTCAATAAGAAGACCATGGCTATCTTTTAAATCATCATAACTCCCTGTTCCCACAGAGGTACTCGTAGCCAACCTTAAGTTAGGTAACTAGGCCATAAGCTATGCTGGCTGACTGCGGGTCGGTGTCTTTTTAATATGTATGGTAATTGAAGGTATTTTAAGTAGATATTCACTTTTCCAGATGCATACGGATATAGATAAGGAATTTTTAATTATCCATACTTTATTCCAGCTATGCGATAAAGCGAGTAATCAGAATAAAACGTGAACGTAAGCAATTTATCAATTAAATAGCAGTTCGTGTGATAGACGTACATTTATTTGCATATCATAATTAGTGCCAAAAAGACGTGGTAGTGAAATAAATACCGTTTCTTTGTGATAGTAACAACCGTGTAAGAGACAGGTTATATTGGAAATAAGGTAAACAGTTAAATTAATTTAAATAATTTATTAAATTATGTCACAACGTCAACGAACGGTGCAAGTATATAAATATAAGAAATTATTACAAGACGTTATTACACCTTTTTTAAGCAGATTATAGTGTCAAATGTTATCTGCACTACAAAAATATTTACATCATTTTTTTATAAATTACACACGAATGTTTTCACTTTCGAGTTTGAGCGGCTTTAATAGTTTAGACTCGTACAGAAAAAACTTTTTCACAGCATGACGGAAGGCCTAGTCCAGAGGCCTGTGAATGGCCAGACGACAAAGCAACCGGACAAGGATTCAACGGAAGTTAACGATGGACCTAAATATTGGGATCCATTGACAGATGGCGTCAAATGGATAGAGAAGTATGCTGAACCTCTGGAGGACTTCTTCAAGAGACTGCCAGAGTTTATCAGCACCTTCATTGCCACATTTGCGGTGTTTACTTTTGGCGCCACGTTGAGAGGTTGGTTTTGATTTATTTACTTAAAAAAACATATTTCATTTGAATAATCCATCATATGCATTTAATAGTTATTTGCTTTGAAAGGATTTTCCATTTTCACAATTAATATTTTTCATTAGAATAATCGTTCACAGTATATTGGAATCGCTGATAAAAACTGTAATTATCTAATGTATGTTGGTTTATTTTTAAACATGGATGCCTTATCACTCTACTCACCCGCTTGTACCTTAAAATTTATACTTTAATATGAGATTTGAGACTCGTTTCAATCCAGTGAAAGTTACCAACATTGGAGTTCGGTTAGCAACAATCTTGTTAAATCCGTATCATTTGTAAATACAATAAATCGTATTTCAGAACGAATTGGATAAGATAAAGAAATAAATGATTGTTGCTATTTTATTTTTCATATTAGAAATTATTGCGAAATTAACACAGATTTTTATATAACTACCCTGAAAGCAAATGATACAAAGCGATTTAATTTTATGTTATTCATTCGCGACTATGTCTGCGCGGAATTAAAAAATAATTTAATGAGTTGCCTATGTTTTCTTCTATGCTCTAAATCTATGTAAAATATCATCAAGATCCGTCCAGCAGTTTAGGAGATAAACTCTAGCAAACATCTAAATATCATCACCATTTCACTATAACTACTTCCACATTAGGGGAATTCAGAGCCGACCCTAAGTTATGGGTGACTAGGACATAATAAACCTCGCTGGCCGGATGCAGGACTTCACACGTATCTCTGAATTTCTTTGCCGAAATGTTCAGGTTGCATCACGATATATTCCTTCTCTGTAAGATTATCGGGTAAACTATTTTAGATGAACTATTCATGTACAGACATTTTTATGTATATTTTCCAGGCGAATGGGTTGTAATCTTGGTGACGGCGCTGAAGCAGATCACAGGACACACGCAGAGTGAGCGCAACATGACCACTGAGGAGATATTCAATATGTTTACTTCACAAAACCTCAAGATGGAGAATTTTGGCATCATTTTCATATTTGCGCACGTCGTGTCTTTGTCCGGGTACTTTCTACTAGGAGGATTCCTTCATGTAAGTTTCATAGTTCTCCGTTTTTTTTATTTCATGCAGCAAATTGTAGCATTTCATATTTCTGATTAAGCACCTCAAATATAAAAAAGACTTCTTACATTCGCAATTTTCAAACAACACATTTGTTTTACACATGTGATATACGAGTATTAAAACAAATTTCAAACACTTTTGGTAACCGGCTGGAAATACAATGAAAATATATATTTAGAAACATTTTTATGTAATTAGGTGCACCTGCGCCTTGCCACGTAGTTATCGTATATTATCGACCATTATCTGCTCAATAACGAATGTACGTACACACGTACCGCCAATCTTGTACAGATTTTTGTTAATCCTTATCACTATATCAAAACAAAATACTAAAATAAATAATCGTTTACAAAACGAGTTTTAAATAACTTAATGTTGCCATCGACGATAAAAATTATAAAGAACTGGACGCATCGATCTGCCAAATATTTCATCTTTATAACATGAGAAATATCTCATATTGATTTGACTTAATAATATCGAGATTTGTTGATATTAAATATGTCAATTTGATAATCACAAGCACGTCAATACATTTTATCTCAAATTCCTAACTATTATCCAATACTTTTTTAATCTATTCCGCTATGTAATCAAACTTTAATACAATTTCATTTCAAAGATTTCTAATCTATTGCGAACATTTGTTTGTTATCATCATTCCCAGGTATGAGCCGAGTATCACTAATCTGTGACCTTTTTTGTCTTGTTTCAGTGGTATTTCTACATGCAGAGGAAGCACCTCGCCCACGAGTGGAAGATCCAGCCCACCAAGTGGCTGAGCCCCGAGCTGGAACGGCACGAGATCATGGTGGGCACCTTCTCGCTGCTCATCGTCGGCTCATTCTCCGCCTTCCTCGCCTGCTACATCTATAACGGGAATCCCTCAACAGTCTACTACCAATTCGACGAGTACGGCTGGGCTTGGTTCTTCCTGCAGTTTCCAGTCATATTTATCTATATGGTAAGTAATGAAATGGTCGAAGTATTTACTACCCAGGTTACCCTCAATGGAAACTTTCCAAAACCGCACAGAATACGATGTTAATTAATTAGTCATAAAATTAAATACGTTTGTGTGTAATCAATGTCTTGTACGCTTTCAGGATTACACGACTTACATCCTTCACCGGCTGTACCACACGCCGTGGCTCTACAAGCACTTCCACAAGCTGCACCACAAGTACAAGCAGCCGACCGCCTTCTCCGTCACCGCCATACATCCCTTCGAGATCATGCACGTTCAGCTCACCTCCTGCCTGCCGCTCTTCACTTTCCCCGTGCACTGGAGTCAGTATAAATTATTTCTGATATTTCTATGTAAATTTTCTGAGTACTACGCTGAAATCGCGTCAATCTTGATCGAGTAGGACAAAACTTGCGGGATCACTATCGCAAATTTATTAAATACCAACAGTGCATATATTTGCACATACGTTGTTCTGGTTTATTAAATTACGAATTACGTTCGCAGTGCCGTTCTACCTAGTGGCGTTGTACACTTACTACCATGGCATCATCGACCACTCGGGCATCAACTTCAAGGCGCAGTGGTGGCAGCCGTGGCAGCCAGACGCAGAGTTCCACGACCAGCACCATCAGTTCTTCCACTGTAACTTCGGATTCAATATGACCTTCTGGGATAAGGTTGTGATGTTTGCAAATGTTAACAAAACTACATACATCTCTATTGTTTTACCCGTATAATATGTTCGTAATATGTTTGTTACAGTTGCACGGCACGATGAGGAAAACAAACCACGTGTATACAGAGAATACTTACCACGGTGAGGCTCCGGCGGCGAACTCCGCTGCGGCGCGGGCCATCATTGCGGCCGACCCCGAGGCCAAGCATCAGCTCCAACAAACTAAAACCAGCCTCAACGCAAACTAAACTATACTTGATTGCACAATAAAAGAAAGGAATTTTTTCCAGTCTTTTATAATATATCGAAAAATTATACTGTGATGGATTTACCATTGATGTGATCGTATTTAATATTTTAAATATAGTAATAACTTTAGACCTAATAAATGTAAATAAATGTTAACTGAACTTAATTGTTTCATTTTCTTTTAGACTAGAGGTTGTTTTTTTTTATTCCGCTCTCCATTCACTCTAAAAGCACAAACTCGAGCATACATAACATTTTTGATGACATAAAAGCAATGAATATTATATACATAGGTCCATTATGCATATCTTGGATACGTTAGTTACGAGAAGTGCCACGTTAACAGTTGTCCAAGATCTATCAACGCGTTTCGCTAAATTCGCCAAATATAAACGAGGTGTCTTTATCAAAAGGGTAAATGAAGAATTATGCTGACCGTACTGTCAGCAGAGTTTGCGTGTGGAAATTTAGGGGCTTCGTGTGTACACCCTACGTCAGCTGATCGGGCGACGCCGACGCGACGAGGTCCGCTCATATTTACCCACCCTGCTACGAACGTGTTCTACGTAATTTAATTTCATGCTAACCAAAGACAATTTATACTTGAAATGGAAATGTCTAGCGAATTGTGAGGTATTTGAGTGATTTACACGCACCAGTAAACAACATAGTTTTATGTATTTTACACAAATATGTGGGTTGTTCCTAATGTAATAGTCTTTTAGTTTTACATAGCGTTTAGCGATATTATTATTTATTTTAATAGTAAATTAAATTATTAACATTTGGCTTAAGTAACTAAATTTATCTTTTTTTCTTTAAAACGTAAATGCATTGCAAGCATTTTCTTACAAAACAGCAACAAGCGCTTTTAAAGAAAGCGCCTATTATAACGCTAAAGAGCGCCGGCGCCCTCTAGCGTTATTTAATTTGTTAAAAGAGTGCTCCCGCCATAAATAAAAAAAATGAAAGCACAAACTCCAGCAATTATGTAAAATGCCCCATTTATAACGAAGACACAAAATCTTTACATTTTTAAATCCATGTGATTATTTTGAATCTTGATGTAACCTTAAATATTAGTTTTTTTTAGAAAATTTTTGTAAGTTTCAGTTTATCTGTATTAATTGGGACACGGGAACACGGCTGCCGGAACAATTAAGAGAAGTTTAAGAAAGTTTTAATTCGAATAGTAAATTAAACAACTTTTTAATGTTACTTTTATCGCATTTCCTTTCATTAAGGTTAATTTGAATATAGAATGAGCTCTGAGCAACTCCGTGGTAAATCTTGAATACTACATTTGCGCTGTGTTATGAACAAGTATGAAACTCCACACAACTTGAGTGGTTTCAATAAATATAACAAACGCACTAACGACCTGTAGTGGGACGGCAGAAATGTTCGCGAAATGTGTAACTAAAAATAACCACATAAATATTGGAAAAGTAAACATTGATTATTGAACATACATGAGATTCTTGTTTAAGATTACGTGAGGGGTATTGAAAAATACCCTTAACTGAAAATATAATATAAATTTTACAAGTGATATTAAATTCCATCGCAATGCAGGCAAATATTGCGAGAACATCAGGTTTCGAACAAAACGAAAATTTTATGAAGCTCATACTTTTTGTTTCAACTTTTCCTGTTACTAGTTTCTTTTGTCGGTGGCGGCTGAAGTGCGAACTTTTGTTCATACCCGCGTTTACACAGTTAAACTATGAAAAATGAACTGTACGGTTTCTGGGAACCGGTTACGAGGCACGTTATGCAGCAATTTATGACGTCATCGAAAACTGACCACCCTCTAGAATATAACTACTTCTGAGTTACCTTCTTTATTACCAGCTTTCAGACGTCGTAAGTACAGCCGGGGAATCTCGCGGTGTTACAACTCAAAAGTTACAATTGATGGATGAGACGACACGGGTTAACGATAGGACAAGGCTTTTAAATGTGTTTATGTGACAAAAGTTGGTCAGCGATACACCAGTATCATTTGTAATTACCTCGTCGTTTACGCAACTTAAGCAAGGCTGTTAAGCTTTAACCTTATTGGTTAAGTTGACAGAGCACGAAAAATGGCAGCGTTCATACAATGAGATTCATTTATCAGACGTAACCTCTCAAATAAACTAACAAGAATTATTCACTCGAAATGCTTAAAAAGTCAATGGAAAATAAAATACCAACGTTCTGAGCCGTGAGCTCAATAAAGCGCAGACCGTAGACGGAACAAAAAATACTAAAACCGGGCGGTTGTGAATAGCATCGAATCATGTACCATGAGGGTATATTTTAAAGCTATTCATTCTTTGAAATCGTTCAACGTTACATAGTTTTAGTTGTTACAAACCACAGATATTTTATTAACATTGTACGTATTGTTAAATCAAATTTTAACATTTTACGCAGCTCGACTTGTATTGTAAGTTACGAAGAAAGGTAATAAAAGTAGATAATTATGCTGCTGGATAATTTCAAGTGTCCAGATGCGGCCATTAAAAACATTTGCAGCTTATTCTCTTGTCTGTGACTTCATAATTTAAGGCAACCCGCGCGCCAACAGCTTGCTTAGCACGTGAAACACTAAATTCACAGTTATTTATTAAGAGAACCTAAGATTCTTTTATTTTCTGTTATATTTTTAAGTGAGTTGAATACGTAATTTGAAATATAAAGTTTAAACTCGTTTGAATTTTCCATGTTTTCTTGCTAAAATTCTCACTCGATTTATTTAGGCCATTTAAATTCTCGTTATATCGTTTTCCAATTTACATTTTCAGAATAGCATAAATTATTTTACCTATTGAGCGAGGGTTTTTTCTCTTTTTATTGAGCTGGGAATGGATATGTTGATTTCTATTTATTTTTTTACAGCATTTTTATAAGCGCCAATGATTGAGAAATTGAGAAACTAAAGGTTAGAGTGTTATGGAAATATGCGGAGATGATGATCACATAAACAAGAAAGTATGAGGATTAAATTTGAATGGCTACAAAGGTAAAAGACCGATGAAAGCATGCATGGATGCATGGAAGAAGCATGGAAAAGGGAATGATTTGAACTCAGATATGACGACTGATAGAAATGCTCTTCCATAGTGGCAGCAACGTACTGTGCCGACTCCGTAGGGACTAGGGCAGGTTGATGGTGAATATTTAAAGCATTTCATTATCATAAATCTTTTTATAACGAGTGCGGTTTAAAAAAAAACAGTCTAAGTATTATCATCGACACTTTCTTTGTTGTCTTTTAAAAAGGCACGTTCATCGAGTTTCAGAAATTAAGTTTAAACTGAACTCCTGTAACAGGAAGTAATTTGGAAGTAGATTAAAGCGTACTTATTATTAAGTATAGTAAAAGTACCGTAATTAGTGAGCCAGTCGCTCGTTACTGCGCTGTTCTAGGAACAGATAAAACGAAATGATCCCAAGTGTTGTTTCTAAACTGCGTAAATGATCTCCGGCCGTTATGAGGATAATGTCTATCAAAATCACATCATAATGACACGATACGCGCTAAACGGATTTACAACACACAAGCCAGTTGGCAAATTAGCGAGTTCTTGGCACACCGCTCCCGATGGGCCTTGATAGGGGTGGCTTAGTCAGGTTAGCTGATGAACATTCTTTCATCTTTAAATTTCTTCGTAGATATGTGCAGGTTTTGCTTCTCCGTAATAGATGTACACATATTGGCACATAGCGAGGATCGAACGAGTACCTTTTTACGTGTTCCGATCCGGATAAATGCCTCACAACTGCGCCGACGCTGAAAAAGTTGTACAGTCGAGAATGTCCGCTGTGATGCAGTTACATTTAATGGCCTAATTTTAACCAAACTTTACAATACAAGTTTTAACTTGAGAACGAAATTGTGATAGATATAAATATCTATCTAATTGACCGACTTCCCAAAAGAAGGAGGTACTCAATTCGCCTGTATGTTTTTTTGAATGTTTTGCGAATGTTACTGTAACAGTGTTTAAATTATGAAGAGTTATGTATTCGTTTAAATAAAGTACGTGAATGTTTTGCCATTTAAATATTAAAATCGTTCCCTGGTTCAAGCTGAGGACTTATTAAATATGAAGCATAACAGCGAGCAATGAAAAAATGTTGAGCTCGTTACGTTATATAAAGACGCATTTAAATAATTTATGGTTCATAATTTGACGGCGGCGCGCGCTCCCTGACATCCTAATGTAAAGTGAACTCATACGAAACCATAAAAAGTAACGTCTTACGAAATTTGTGGGACGATTTTTATAATTTCACGCTAAAATTAGGACGCATTGCCAACATTAAATTTAATAGGCATCGACTGTGATAGCATAGTTAATTGTAAAGATTTTTTAAAATTGTAGAATGGTAAAGGAGCAACCCTAAATTCGTCAAAATAGATGCAAAGTAGATGTATTTTTACTGGAGTCTACAGTAAATTATTTTGGGTATACTACTCTTCTGAAAATGAAATGTACCTGTAAAATAACACTGAAGGAAAGTATACAAATTGTAATTATTTGCTTCATTATAATACACCTTGGGCAGTACTTGATGTTTTAATTGGTATTAAGTAAAAACGTTTCCACTTTGTAGAGCGGCCATTGGTCGGCAGCCGGCAGCCGGCAGCAAGCGGCTTACAATAATTGAGTGGAGGGAAATTAAAGTGGGATCATTTGGGATGCTTGATATACGTAATTGTTACAAAATATTCACGCGAACCTACTTCATTATGCTTTATTAAATTGAAATCTACTAACAGTATTACATTGGGTACTCAGTTTTGCTGTTTTTGATCCAACGCGGAAGGAGTCGCGGGCAAAAGGTAATTTAACTATGAAAATATTTTTTTAAGGACATAAAAGCTCAAGTTACTACAAGTTAGCTACAAGTTTGAAGAAAATGAAGAAATATTTAGTATTAAGAGAAAAAGCAGTGAAAACCTTAATTACGATTAAAACAAGTCAAATAATAGCTGTTGTCGCAAGTAGAGCGTCAAATACGCATTGTTATTACTTTACCGAATCAATGCGTCGTCAAGTATGTCGTAATGTTACATAACGACGTAACCCGCAGTGAAAGCTATCTGAAGCATCATCACACTGCGCTCTTCATAAAAACTAACGACAACACTTTCGCGACAAAAGCGTGGAG